TATTATTGATCTATTAAGAAATTCATCTCTAAAAACGATTTTGTGTTGCTACAAATTTTTATCGCAAACTGCTAAAATTTTTCGACGAGAATTCTGCTATCGCAACTTGCACCAATTTCCTTGTTATATTGCCAAAATTTTCTTGATTAAATTAGACATCCTTGCTGTCATATAAACTGTGATTTTGCTATCAATTCCCTCCTCAATTCTCTCAAGTTTTTGGTAGAAATTTCATCGAGAAACCGCTATTTCTTTGACGACAATTCTGCTCTTACAAGACAACACAATTCTACAACAAACTTCCACTGATTTCTATCAAACCTTTGCTGCCATCTACCACATATCTAAAACTTTCATCCACAACCCTAAAACTCCATCAAACCACACCCTCAAACTACACCCAAAACAACTACAAAACAAGCCTAAACCGTAACCTACATCCACCAATCCACCAACCCTTTCGATCATCACTTCTCTCAACCTATACATGCCTTTAACCCAACAACAAAAGAGAGATCTTAACATCATAGATTTGGAGGCATATATTATAGCATCTAAGGAGGCAATCAATGCTAAATTCGAAGCCTTGGAGGTGCGAATGGAAGATAAGATTCGGACGCTCTTTACCGAACTCAGATTAGGTCGACCACTAAGCCCGAAGAAATCATATAAAGGAGCGAGCTTTGCCCAATCGCACCAAGCCCGAAGAGATGAATTTCAAGGGAGGGGAGGCTCTATGACCGACCCCAACTATCCACGCATGAGATTGGACTTCCCTAGATGAGAAGAAGGAGACCCGATTGGTTGGATTTTGTGTGCGCAGCGATATTTTCGGTATCACAAAACCGCGGATGCATCTATAGTGAAAATTACAGCTATACATCTTGAAGAGGACGTCATACACTGGTTTGACTGGTTTGAACACACTTATGGAGTCCTTTCATGGTGACAATTCAAAGAAAGACTGCTAATCCGCTTCAAACCAACCAATTACGAGAATATTGATGGACAACTAGCAAAGATCCAACAAACCTCCACCATTCAGGAGTACCAAACCAGGTTTGAAAGGTTATCTAATCAAACTCATGATTGGTCTCAG